TGAGGTACAGAAAAAGGATTGGAATTGTGTTTTGTTTTTGGTGTTTAGATTTTTTTTCTTTTTTTTTTTTTTATAGTAGTAGGCCAGTAGAATTCTCATGAGAACAGATTTTAAGCACTTCAATAGAGAGTCATTTTTTTGGTTGTTTCCAGAAGGTGCCAAACAGATTTCAACATCATAATAATTAGAAATACCCATAATAATTATAACAATAATAAAAAGGCATAATATGATACATAAATATGGAAGAGCAGTTTGTAATATGAATACATTTTCTCTAGACGAGATCACAGTTTTATTTTGTAAATATTACATTTAAGTATATATATACACACATATATGTACAACTATATATACATGTGCATATATATGTAAATTTATATATATATATAATATCTTTATATAGATAGATATCTGCGGACAGGTTATTGATTATAGAGACCCAAGAAAGCAACTCAAGAATTGTTCAAAATTCTCCTCACTGACTGCTGGTGTATTGGTTTAAGAAGCCCCGAGTTGTTTGCACTCAGAATGCCATATCTTCTTTTAATGGAACACTTGATGTGGAATTTTAAGTCTGAGAAGGAGGAGGGATTTTGGTGACTCCCTTCCTCTGTGAGGTTGGAAATGGCCCATAAGTCTTGAATAGACCACACAGTAAACTGACTTTTACACTGGAAGATGTAATTGGCTTTTAAGCAAATTCTGGAACTGGTAAAGGCCAGAATAGGGGGGAGAAAATCGAATTTGCCTATGAGTGAAATATCCCCAAACACAAGCCTCTCTCTTAAGGTGGATTATAAAATCCAGGAATTCCAGCTTTATTCCTTGAAATAGCAAATGAGCACTCCGTGTCTTTCGTAAATGGCCACTGGGCCCGTGCATTCCTGAAAAGTAACCCACGGACTTTGTGTCTCTCACAGATTGCCACAGCCCCTTTAGAACTTCAGGGCCTCACCATCCCCCGCCATCCCACTGTGAGGTAGGTAAGTAATATCATCCCCATTTTGCAGCTGGAGAAACTGAGGCAAATGGAGACGCTCTTTGTTGACTTGTTCAAGATCACTAGCCAACTGCAGCCTGGCATCAAGAATTCCAGGTTCTTTCCCTAGAGACCTAACTCTTCTCTTGGCTGTCTTTACAATTCTTTGAAAGCTCAAACGATCGGTAGGAATTTGGCAAAACTTGAATAAGTTAAAAGAATAGGCTTTTATTCCTTGGTTCTTTAGATTTTATGGTTGCTGTTTTGCTTGGTTTGTTTTTGTGTTGTTTCTCAAAAACCAGGGGGATTACCTGTCTGGTCATGTAGCAGCTTTTTAGGAAAGTGGACCGTGCAGTGTGATTCTAAGTGCAGTCTTTAGAAAGCCCAGTGCCCTACTGGTAAATACAAACATTTTATAACGTGAAAAGCACAACACACTATGTCCCCTTCATATCAGGTAAAACTGATTTCAAGCCCTCCCCACGCCCGACTACCACGGATTGCCACCAAACATATAGACAAAATGTTCCCCAAACCACAACTACGTATCAAGGGAGAGGATGCCTTATTTCCTGGACTCTACCACAATGTACAGAAAATACCAGCATTATAAAATCCTGCTTTATCTCTCCTGCTAGGGAAATTTTGGTACTGTGTCTACCTACTCAGCCTGTAGAATAAAGAGTTCCCTTTAGGAAGCACAAAAATATATATATTTTTTAATTCTTATTTTAAATCATGCATTTTTATTTCCTTTTCATCTCTTTGTCTTCTATCAATCTCTATCTGTACAGCTTTGTTACCATTAATTTCTCCTTTTTATGTTCCCACTTGAAGTAGTTCCAGAAAACAAACAAACAACAAACAAACACACACACAAAACACAAAAACCCTAAAATGGTTAACTTGGATTTATGGTTTTCTTTCTTCCTTTCCTCCTTCCTGTCTTTTTCTTTCTTTCTTTCTTTTTCTTTTTAAAACACAGGTAAGACCTATCACAAATTGACAGTTACAACCAAGTTAAACTGAACCTGGAAGGGAGGTAGCTGAAATCTGTCTCAAAGAATTATTTTCAACAAATAGCATTTAAGCATGGGCCAAGGTGGGAAAAAGACCAAGAGAACTGTCTAGGCAGTAACTCAACATGCTGAAGGCAGGAATAGCAGCTGATACCCTCCGTCTTCACAGCCCTGCTCTTTATGACCATCCACCACTCCTTTTCTTAACACCCTAATTCAGCCATCAAAATGGACTTCCCAGGGACTGCCTTCCCTTAAGAGGGGGTTGGCACAGAATATGGGGGTAGTACAAGTCCTCTGGGCATGCAATTAGGGTTGTGGCTTGGAAAGGCTCCCCAAAACAGGGTTTGGAGAACCGTCTTCCTCCTCTTTTCTTTCTTGCTGCCAACAGGCTAATACTTCTGCAGACCCAGAACCCCCATTTGCTTTAGGGCCCGTGAGCTGCTGATAGACAACAGGTCAACCTGCCTCCTTGTGAGTACTCCATGATCCTAAACAGGAGATAATTGAAGTGTTAAGACAATGAATTTATTCCCAGAATGAAAAGGAAGCCAGAAATCAGTGCATTGCATGAATAGAACGAAATCTCTTTCACTAAGTTTTGAGAAGGGCCTTCCCTGTGGGCATGAGGCTGGCCATTCATCAAGTAGCCTGTCTTGACTAATATCCCTTGGCAAATATGAATTTATGAGTAACATGTTTGAATGATGGTCAGGAGGAGACTGGGTGGCTCCTTACTTGACTCAGTCCGAGAGTCGGAAGATGGAAGTCAGCTTCTAGGAAGCTTTGCTCAGCTGGAGAGTGTGGGCACAGACCGTGTGAGGGAGAAGGAAGAAGGAGGATGAGGTTCAGGTCAATTGAAGGGAAGATGGTGAGGTTTTTCTGTGGTTCCTGCAACCCTATTATCAGCGATGGCATCTTTGGGTCTCCACGGGTTTTTGCTCTACTTATTCTTGTGATAGAGCAACTGGGAGGGCCCACACAGTTACCTTTCTCAGTTCATGTCTTGTCAGCTAACCACACACATTGTAACTCAGGGCAAGAGAGGGGCATTACTAGTTGGCAAGATTTCTAAGGTACTGGAAGGAGTACAAAATGGAATCAGTTCTTTCATTTTTTATGATTATTTTGCTAAGATTGGCCCTCGTAACTACAAGAAAATGCTCTGGATATACATGAGATATGAGTGTGTAAAAGAAACATAAAGGATTTGAGCCTGTCCTTAACCATGGCGGCAGCCTCTCCATTCTGGAACCCAATCTCAGGGTTTGGAATAAGGTACAAGCCATGCAAATCTAAGCCCTACATCCTAATCTGTGGGCACCTGTGCGAAAAGCACCTTGGTATGTTGGCTTCTCAAGTGTTCTTGGTCAGCAGCTGTTCGGAGTATTGTAAGAAGGTTCCTGAAATTATTTTTTGTCCCCATAGGGAAAAGGACTATGACTGACGAACAGCATCTGCCTCATGTACAGGAATGAGGAGGGTCAGCACGTACGCCTGGGGTTTCCCAGTCCTATGCTAGACTTTGTTTTTGTTGATTGTTTTCATGAGATTTGAGATGACTTGATTTACAGCAGTCTTTGTGTGATACCCTCCCATTGCCTCACTGTCTCAGTTCCAGGTCTCAGAGATTATGTCCAGCTTGACCATTCTTGCTACCTCATTCTGTATTAATTTCTTCCCATATTAATTTGAAAGGAGTGGACAGTAACTGGTGGAACAGGCAAAGAGGACCCCAGTGAGGTAGGGACTTCCATGTGTACTGGACTACCTTCCTTTCAACTTTCAGAGGCTAAACATGGGAAAGAGGGATGGATTCACCAACCACAGGTCTGGATGGGTGTCCTGGTAGCTGGAAGATGATGACCATGTTGGGTTGGTGGGGACTGAGTCTGTGAACTCTTGGGCTTCCCTCTGACAGCCCTTGAGAACACAGTTTAGATGGATTCTACCCAAGATGATTCTCTGTTCTAGAATTATAGCTTCTCAGGGCCACAGTGAGGTCCTCAGCACCAAAGCCTGATCTAACCCGGAGGGCCAGGGAAGCTTGGATAAAAATAATAACTCAAGAGTCTGCACTATCCCAGCAGTCTCTGGGTGGCCCCAACATCACAGACATTTAACACTGGTCCACTTGGATTATAAAATCTAACACTGGCTCAGACATTCTGGACTCTCAGTGAGGGTTTCAGCATCTCCAGTCCCTCTACTCCCTTTCAGGATGAGAAGCCCACCCAGGGGGGATTTAACTTCTCACCATGTGGGCCAATGAGGATTTATCTCTTGCAGAAGGGCTAAGAAGTGAGGAGCTGTGGGAAAATGCGGGTCACTTTTAAGGCAGACTGTTTGGTTGTGTGGGGATTTTCCTAACCTGGTCCTACCATCTTGGGGGTACTCAATGTATAGGATAGAGCAGCAGGAAAAGTAGCAGCGAATGTGGTCCCAAGGCAAGACTGGGGGAATGGGTAGGTTCTGGAGGGGTATTATGGCCTCAAGCAGGGGGCTGTTATAATACCTTGACACTACAACCCTATGCCATTTCCAGCTTGGCCTCAAACCCTGGAGGTGGGGTAAAATCCCCCATGGCAGCAGAAATGGGGGGCTTTTCCTACCTTGGATTCTTTACCTCATCCTGGTTTCTACTTCCCTAGAAGGTAGGTGGTCAGAAACCATTTCACTTCTAATCCCAAAGGACTGCACTGTTGTGCATGCCCTACATGTTCCAAGCCTCCGAGTGCAAGCTATCTTGACATCTCAACACTTGGCCTTGGCAGTTTCTGCAACTCTCCTTCTCCCAAGGACAGTATTGGCTAGAAGCTTGGGAAAGGAAAGACTGAGTATGTTCCAGTCTCTCTCTGCTCAGTCTCCCAAACTGCCCTCACGCAGATGTTTGTTTGGGTGCATATGCATGCGTGTGTACTAACCACATATGTGCACACTCCTAAATATAGAACATGTTTCTTGCTGTGGTTGTGTGACAAGTGATGAGAATTGTAGGCTCTGGGACTGCACACTTGTATATGCAATCCTTCTAAGACTTTGGGATGGGATTCCATTTCATCATCCAACATGGTGAGACTTGGTTCATGCGCCCCTACTATGAGTCCTTCCTGGGTGAAATTAAAGGCAGACCGGTTGGGTGCTAAGGATCCCTGGTGTGGGGAGGCCATTCCGTTGAGCAGCTGACTGTGAAATCAATACCAAAGGGATGCGGGTCCTGGCGCTGGGAATTCTTTGTCAACTCCTTGTCCTTCCTTAGCCATGGCTGTACCCCCGGAGGTCTTTCCGGCTGTGTTCTTGGGCCTGGGGGTCCCGACAAGCACAGTCACCTTGTAGGTCACAGGACATAGGGAAGGGGGTGACCTGCAGAGACAGAGAAAAAAGAGGTGAGCCAGAGGGTGGGGTCTGATATAGTAATTTTCAGAGAAGCAGTGCAGAGCAGGACAGTGACTGGACTAGGGGGTGAGGGTGGGCAGCAGATTGAAGTTCAAGTCCTACCTCTGCTTCTGGCTAGCCCTGTCATAATTTTTATCAAAATCATTAGAACAGCAACTTTCATTTTCAAGGGCATTTATGATGGGTCAGTCAACTCTGTAAGATAGGTACTAAAACAATCACCTTTTACAGATAGGGAAACTGAGGCTCTCTGAAAGGGGCAGGCAGTTGCCCAAAGTAACAGGTGACAGACATGGTATTTAGTATAGGCAACTTACTCCTGAGCCCCAGGTTCCCAGCTGTAGGATGGGTATCTATCAGCCCTACCTAGCCCTGGGAACTCTAAGGGCTGAAGGAACTCATGGGTGAAAAATTGTAATGCGCTGTGCCAGAGCTGATTGGTGAGATCGGCACAATGGAATACTTAACTTCCAGGGCCGTTGGGGTGGTCAAGTGAAAGAAGGTATATGAAAGTGTCTTTTAAGAAAGACAGACGTGTGCTGGGATTTTTGATTTGGGGAGGCAAGGGTGAAAACAACAAGAGCATGTCCCAGCAAGCTCAGACTGCTCTCCAGGAGCCTGAGCTCTGGGTGGGGGACATTTCACCTAGAGATTTTGCATAAGGTTTGGTTTGAAGGCTCTCAGGAGCAGATTTTGAGTAAGAAAGGGTGAGAGGTGTGCAACGTGGTTTGCTATCCACATATGTTATGGAAGCTGGGGAAAAATTAAAAACACACACACACACACACACTTTTTTCAGTGGGGAAGGGCACCTGGGTGGCTCAGTCAGTTGAGCATCTGAATCTTGATTCCCGCTAAGGTCATGATCTCAGGGTCTTGAGGGCCCAGCCCCACGTAGGGCTCTGTGCTGGGCATGGAGTCTGTTTGAGCTTCTCCCTCTGCCCCTCCCCCCTCCTCAAGTGCATACTCTCTCTCGCTCTCTCTCTCCAAAGGGGGGAAAAAAAACAAACAGTGGGGGAAGAAGCCTGAATTTTGGTCCCCATCCATCCCTTCACATGCTCTGTGACCTTGAGCTGGCTTTCCTTTCTAGAAACTGAAGAACAAATGTCTTCTCCACACAGCCGGTGACCTTTCAAAGAGCACACTGCAGTCCCTGCTTGAGCCCCAGCCTGAGCTAACGCAAGCGGATTTCAGATTTCACCTCATTGCATCATGATATTTGCATATAACTTTTCCCAGAGGGTCCCCCATCTGCGCAGATGGGTTTAATGACCTCATTCGCCTCCTGCCTAGGCAGGGTCTCCAAGTGCTCACACTGTCCCTGAGAACATCTTTGGTCTCCTAGCTTGTGGACTCATTCTCTGTATCGAACACTTCTCTCTGCTTCTTGGCCTGTCTGCCTCCCCTCCCTCCTTTCTGTGCTTCCCTCCCTCCCTCCCTCTCTCTCTCTCTGTCCTGCAATTTTGCAATAATTGAAAAGGGGAAGATTAAAGTATAAGCCCCAGCTCTCTCACCTACTCCTGTGACCTTGAGCATGCAAGGATTTCCCCAAGCCTCACTTAATTCATTTGTTAAATGGGAATAATGAATGCAAACACCTCTTGAGGTTGTGATCGAGGATAAGGGAACAGACGAAAACCATGTAGCTCCCAGTTCTTGGCATAGGCTCCTCACTTAGATCAATCAAACGACAGATATCTCCTCCTCTCTCCCTCAGTGAGGCAGCATCCACATCAGTCTTGTTCTTTCTTGTTTTCTCAGGGCCTGAGCCATCAAATGAATGAATGTCTGTTCATTTCTCCATCTCTTACTGACCCTTTCACTATACGCATGACGAGCACAACTCTGTTCCCTCAAGTTAAAGTCATACAGCGTTTACAAGAACAGGAAGCATTCTTACAGATGCTCCTATGCCGTGCCTGTCCTTCTGCTTAGGACTACTTGCTGTCCCCTGCTCAGGACATTTACTTCCCAGTCATTAGGTCTTGGTGGAGGCTGTGCCTTCCAATCTAAAGTATGTTCCACAACCTCAGTATCTCTAGGAGAAGCAGAGAATTTTAGAATTGGAAGAGACAGAGAAGGAAATCCCCTGGTCCAAGTGGGGACACCGATGGCAGAGCCAAGTCTGAATCCAGTAACTGAGTTCAAGTGGGGAGGGTACCATCATGGGAACCAGGAGGCCTGGATAGGGATCCTTGCTTGACTCGTAGTCACTGAACAATTTTGGGAAAATCCCTCCACTGTCCTGATCCTTTGCCTCTACATCTATAAAAGGGCAATTAAAAAAAAAAAAAAAACTATTTTGTATGGTTGTGAAGATCAAACAAGAATACACATCCAGAAGCCCTAGGAGATGCCTGACACTGAATACATATGTGCTCAATCAGCTCTCATTTCACCATCTGAGGACACCTCTGCTGCCTGTTGTCCCTCTCTCCCACCTCCCTGTCCTCAGCAGCTTCTTTGTCCTCAACTCAACCCATCGCTGTATCTGTTCTCTTCTCCTGCCCTTGCCCACATTCTCGCATTAGAATGATCCAGTCACCTCCTACGTCCTGTGCACAATTCTCTCCATCTCCGTGACCCCTCAGAGATGGTTTCACTCTGATTTAGTCCTCATGCTTTCTGCTCTGCCTCACATAGGCAAAAACTGAACAGATCTCTTAGAATGAGACCCAAAGTCCTTACCACGAAATCAAGGCCCACTTCTCAGAACTCTCCTGGTCCCTTCTCCCTCTCACTCTCTGTGGCTTATTTACTTCTTGGTTCCTCAAATACTCCAAGTGTTTTCCTTTTTTGCGGGGTGGGGGGGGGGGTAATCAAAACTTTATTGAAAAACTGACACCAAAGTAAGAGATCACTCTTGTATACCTTACAAAAGCATAATTACATTATGTTGGTATTTTAACTGGAATTACTGAACTGACAAAGCTTTCTGTGATAGAACACACATTCAGGAGGTTGTGTAGATCATTAATGTTGCTTCGTCTTCTGTGAGTCTGGCCTTTCCTCTGTCGGCTGGCTGAACACTGTTGACCAACCCACACAAAGAACCACCATCTGGCAAGTGTCCAGCCATTTCCATTCCTCTGCCCTCATGGCTCCTTCCTGGCCAGCTCATCTTCCACGCTTCACGTCTCATCTCAGATGTCACCTCCCCCCACACTGGTCTGACCAAAGATGGCGCTGTTACCTACGTGCCACTTCAGAGCATCCCATGGAAGCCCTTCTTGTCCTAAAATGCTCTGTACTTGTATGCCAGCTCCACTGGGGGCAGGGGGCCTATCTGTTACTGACCCAGGACTTTATATGTCACATAACAGGCACTCGGTGGACCCATGAATGGAGGAACAAATGAACACATGCATACATACCCAGAACACAAGGAAGGGAGCCTCAGCTCTTGCCCTTGCTTACTGTGTGACTATGCATAGGTTACTTCCTTTCTCTGGGCTTCAGTTTCCCTACCTGTACCCTAAGATTTAATTTTAATGGTCTCGATCTTCCCACTGTCCAAAAATCCTTCTCAGCCTGAGCAAAAAAAAAAAAAAAAAAAAGCAGAAGACCAAAGGGTTGGCCAGAAAGGATACAGGACTTGAGACTTTCTCTCACAAACCCTGTCTTGCACGTTCTCCTTTCTGCCATCCCCAGTTACTTCAGCTTCTCCAAAGTTATCAGTAGGGAAGGCCACACCACCAGTTGGCTTCTCTGGCCAGTCTGGCCATCCTGGCCAAGTGTGCGTGGTATGACCATTCTCTTCCCTCCCTTGGTTAACCCAGGCAGTTTCAACATTTTCCCAAAGAAACATGTCTGGAAACTGAGGGCAGGAATATAACAGAGTCTCGAAGGCCCGGTCTCGGGAGGTGGATCTGCAGCCTCCCTATCCTCCCCGCCTGCTTGTACATGCAGCTGCCTCTCCTGAGCCCTTGCTAGGAGTTCACTGGGCAGACAAGCCTGGGTTCTGGTGTGGGCTCCACACAGGCACTGCTTGGCTTCTGGCAAGTCCTTGGCCCGCTGGGAACTCTGTCTCCCCACCTGGAAGGCAAGGGTCCTCAAAAAAACCTCACTGCATTCTGGTGAGGAGCCAATGCAATAATGTCTCCAAACAGCTCACAGAGATCCTCGTGCAGAGGAGATGGACAGCGTCTTGTTCTGTCCGCCTGCTGGCCTCTTGAGTCTTAGCAAACTGCCTGTTCAGAGCCTGCCCCAGGGTATCCTCTTGTCACAAGCTTCCTCCCTGATCAAGGACCTACGGGTGGGAGTAGAAGGATAGAGACTAGCAGCTCTAGCCACTTCCCAGGTGTTCCTTAGTTTGGCCTGGAAGAGGCAGGTGCACACCCGTGAATACCACTTTAAAACACACACACTAGCACTTCCTGAGGGCCTTCCACGTGCCAGGTAATTCCTACCTGCTGGCTAGTCCGCTGTGAACAACCCCATGAGGCTACCGTTGTTAGCGACCCATCTTGCAGATGAGAAGATTGAGGATTCAGAATGTTTAGAACAAATGAACTTGCCCCGGGCCTCATTACCCATCAGTAACTAGCTGATGTAGGATTCTAAAGTCCACTCCAAACACTGAGAGCTTTTCAGCCAGCGAGAGTAAGGTTCCTCCTTCACAACCTGGCTGGGCTGACTGCTGCTTTGTCTTTTTACAGCCAATAGCCTTTTATCCCTTTATTATGTGCCTGGCTGAGTTAAACCAGTGTGCATTATCTCACTCACTCTTCCCAGCAGCCCTAATAAGGTAGCTATTCTTGCTAGCCCCGTTTTTCCATTCTTAGAGGAAGGTAAGAGGCACAGAGGTAAGTTACTTGGCTTGCAGGTGGCCTGTGATCTGAATCCTTGTTTGTAACCACTCCTTGGTGCTGACCCCCCGGGAGTCAGGGTCCCCTTTTGACAGAGGAAGAAATTGAGGCACAGAAAAAAGGGCCACATCCTGGTAAAGTCAGCTCTGAGCCCAATTC